GTCTTAAATTTTTATTTCAAGTGGCATTAAAAAGTCTTGGATTTAACTTGCCCTGTTTGTACTCTCCCAACAATAAAAACTAGTTGCCCCGGGCGATCGGGCGATGGTTAACGTCGAGCCCTGCAGTGTCAGCTTTTGGGATACACCTCTTCATTTCAACAGCTTTCACATGCGTACGCCTTGAACCACGATCAGATCTAACGTCGGATCTGATCGTCGTTGGAGGTCACGCGCTCATTCGCTGTCAGTGAGGATGAACGCATCAGAGTGGGTTTCTGCAGGGGGCATCCGTTGCTCTAGAGATAGACCCAGATCTATTTCAGTCAGACTGAGCTGCAGTTTAGCAGTAATTAGTTTGACAGGAAGAGACGCAGCTACAAAGGAGATCAGCTATTGAGAATCAATGATCAGTTCCAACCTTTCATTTCTATCAGACTCTTGTTAATGCACAGACCACGGTGCAGGAGACAGAGAGGTTCTCATCTCACCATGGCGTCCTGTTCAGGGGGGCGTCCTCCTCCCATGTTTTAATTCTGTCCGTCTGCTGTGTCCCTTGGCCTTGGAGAGGCTTCTTCATCCATGTTCTTCATCACAGAACTGTTAATTGGAATAAAATAAAATAATTCAACAGAAATCTAAAGCAGCCATTAGAGAAACCAGCATGTTTGTAAATAAAGCGGGTGAAGAAACGTGATTCATGATGTTTGGTTTAACTTTGCTCTTGGTTTTTCTCCAAAGACGCTCCCATCAGACCCTGAGGTGATTCTCTGTAACAACACCAAGATGCTGCGGGAGCGGTTGGACATATCGGGAGAGAAGTTGGGGTCGGAGCACCGTGAGCAGGAGGACGACTACGTTTATGATCTTTACTACCAGGAAACGCTCACACCAGGCTGGATCCAGGACATCCTGTCTGTCAGGGCCTACGCTGACGAGGGAGAACTGGTGTGTGTGGATGGATGGACGGACAGATGAATGAGTGCTGGACTCGGAGTGAGTGACTGAAGAAATGGGAGGAGCTACTAGAGGAGCTGCTGCTTTTTCCTTTTACTGCAGTTTTAAGATTAAGATCAGGTTCAGTTCTAGGTCTGGAGGAAAACAAGAGACTTCTAGATATAACCTCTTTAATTTGGTTAAATACATTCTTATGATAGATTTCCTTAAAGCATCTTTTTATAACTGATTTTATTCCTAAACATTTATATTCGTAGATTTTATTTTATTGGATCCAGAAGATTGAGATCAGAAACTCTGCTCCTTTCCTTCAGGTTCCAGATCTAGTTGTTCATGAAGAGGAAGTCTATGAAGACGAAGACGATGAAAACGAAGAAAGCAACTGGAGGAATGACTATCCTGATGAGGACAGCGATTCAGACGGCGACAAAGA